CCCTCTCTCTCTCTCTCTCTCTCTTTTATGGTACGGCTGAGAGTGGTTGAATAATGTGTCAAAGGGACAAGTGGGACAGAGGAGTTTGGGATTAGTGTGTGTCTGTGTGTGTGTGTTTGTGAGAACAAAGCATATGGCAGCAATGTTTTTATTTTTTTATTTTTGCATATGCGCTGACAGGGATGAGTCTTGAACATATTTCACGTTAAAATGTACAATATAAAAAAAACCTTTCAAACCTTTTAGAAATTAAAACCAAAACAACATGTACTAAAAATGTTTAAAGTCAACATGGTATGTTTTTGCAACCCATTTTACTTTCCTAGTGTGACAAATATCTGAAAAAGCAGAAAAATATGTAGAATAGAATATCAGAATTTGTGTGTGTGTGTGTGTGTACATTTATTTATTTATTGCATTTTTGCGATTTTGTGATTTTTTTTTTTATTATTTGATGAATAGAAAGTTGAAAAGAACAGCATTTATTAGTACTGACCCAAAACTTTTTTAATATAGACAAACTATTTTAATATTGTTCAAATATATTTAAAATATAAACCTGTTCTTTTGAATTGTAATAATATTTTACAATATTACTGTTTTTGTTGTACTTCTGGTCAAATAAATGCTGCCTTGATGAGAATAACAAATATACACTTTAAAAAAAAAAATTTATATATATAATTGTTAAAAAAAAACTATATATGTGTGTGTGTGTGTTGTTCACAATAAGACCAGTATGTGAACTGAGAACGTAAACAGGTCATTTTTTATTTCAAGCTGACTTTAAAGCTGCTTTATGTAATTCCTGTGCCACCGGCTCTAACACTGCCAATAAGACAGTTTTGATAACATAGCCTACTCATCATAAAACACTTACAGCAAATCCTGGAACAGAACGCAGGTTTAGTGCCAGCGAGAAATGGACGAAGGCAAACGAATGAAAATGAAAATGACTAAAGAAGCCATTGTGAAAGCCAGTCGGCTTGAGCTGGAAGAGCAAGTTCATTCACTAGTGGCATTCTCTGATTGCAAACACTTCATCTGCCAAACTTACACCACAGGTTAACGCACAATTTGGCATGCTGGAGAGTTGAATGAAGCCACAATCTTTATACTCTTCAGTTGCATCTACTCTTGAATAACTGCACACTTCACTTTTAAAACAACTTAACTTCAAATTTCACAACACACAAACAATAATAAAGGAGCACACGTTTCTTACCCCATGTGAAGGATATGTGAGCCAGCCCCAGTCTCCTGATATTTTGGTTGTGTCCAGGAGATTCACTGTAAATTGAACATAAAACACATTACAACAGCTTTCAAAAGAACTTTTCATCATAATTACTGATACTCCATTATCTTGAAGCCCATCCAATTACATGAGCTGATGCACATCTGAGTTCATTTTGATAGACTGCAAGGATACATTTCTCATTCAAACAAACTGCTCGTACAGTGCTCACCTTTGACCTCATCACATGACCTTTAAGGAGACTGTCTAATGACAATAATACAATCTGTCTGTACAGGACAAAATGAGTCACAAGGATCATCCGCTCAAGGCAAGAGTCAGCGCCATTACAAATATGTTCCTCAATGAGTTTGAACCACTTAACGGCTGGATCAATGTTTAACCCAGCACTAAACACTAACGTCTACTGAATAAGAAATGCACAAGATGAACTGCTTTGTTTAATATTTCTGATAGTTGCAATAACATAAAATAATACTCATAATAATAATAACAATAATAATTGTTCTGGCATTTTTATGGTTCATTATCATTACTGTAATTGTTTGTTGTATTATTTTTAATATTTATGTATTCACTGTAACAAATGACTTTTAGTTGAACACTAAAAATATTTAATTAATCAAATATCTCTTGTTTTTTGTGAAAAATATAATAATAATATTGTTTATTTGTAATTATATATATATATATATATATATATATATATATAGTGTAAAACTTAATATATTTTATTAATCAAGTGTATCTAATTATTAATAATAATAATAATAATAATGTGTATTTAAGTATATATATATATATGAATGTTTTTTTGTGAAAAATATAATAATAATTATAAATAATAATAATAATAATGTGTATGTTAGACCAGTTTAAGTGTTTATGTAGTAT